TTCCTTAAGAAAAAGCACCCTCTTCTCTCTGAACCTTTATAAGAACTTTCTGAATTAAATGCCACCTTCTGTAAGGTCATTTATTTCACATTATAGAGGTGTTTTGTCTCTGTTTTGCTAGACCCGTGAAGTAGAGATCCTGCTGCTGTGAAAATTGCTAAGCAATTTATTCCTGAAAATTGAAAGAAGTGCAAAATAAAGCTGTATATCACCTTTGTGCAATTTCCATGCAGATGCATCTTGCTGTGTCAGGTTTTGGTTAAGACTGGCTAGTGCTATGTACCAACATACAACACACCTAAACATGATTCACTGGGTGGGGAGGGTGAGTGGGGAAGGAAGGCAGAAATAATTTCAATCCACGGGCTGCCAGGAACCTAGACCACTGGGAAGACAGCTAATTAAGTCATGCAAGAGGAAGAGTGCCTGCTATGTTGACCCTTCTACGTGGCCTAAGAATGCTATCATTAAGCTTTGGCTGACCCTGGCTTTGGGAGGCAGGAGCTGGGGGAGGTTGGGAACATAAAACGGATGGTTTTCAGGGGGGAAGGCAGAGAGTTACAAATAGGAAAGCTAATCAGCTTCCTGTGGGAGGGATGCCTCAGGAGTTTTCACAGAGGGTGAGAGTGAAGGATAACAGTGTCTCTACATGGCAGGACTGGTGTGGAAGATCCTTGCACAGGTGGCAACTTATTTCTTGTGGTCAGTTACCCGGACAAAACATGGGTGCTTGTAAAACTGACAGCGGTGCCAGGATTGGGACCTAAAACAGGGGAGTTACCAATTCACAGGGACACACAGGGCAACGTGTGCTAAATAGCATGTGTTAGAGCAGACTTGATTAACTGAGTCTGCTACAGAATGCACTCCAGCAGCCTCAGCGCCATGTGTATTCAATGTCCCTGCATTTCAAAATGGCGGCAGGAGCACTTTAACTGAAGTTCATTGAGCAAGCTTTAGTTAAAGTGCTCCCACTGCCATTTTGAAGCACAGGAAACTGAATACACATGATGGTGCAGGTGCTTTCATTAGAGTGGCTCTCAGAGCTGCTCTAATTAAAGTGCCACCCACTCTATCATGGACCACGTGTATAGATGCCCACAGTCACCCTCTTGGAGTAAAACTAAGGCAGTCTTAAAGTTTCCCCCAAAAGTACTCCCAAAATATAATCATTTTCTATTTACCTATAACTGCAGGCTACTTTACTCCCACACAACTAGGAAAAAAAATGGGTTTATGACACTTCTCTTAGCTACCTCTGAGACTTACTGCAGTTTATTAAACAACAACAAGAAAACATCCAAAGACCAGTTGATGCTTGCAGTACATATTCAGAGAGTAAACTGATCTAGCACAAAAGTGGGAGAGATAAGACAAGGCAATGAGATTCTGCATTATCCTCAGCTGGAGATCAAAGCATGATAATAGTCAAATTACAATTAAAAGAGCAGAGAAGGGAAGATCACTTACTTCATGATAAGTATATAGAATGAATACATAATGATGAGTACAAGGCTTTCCCACCTCAAAGAGAGAAAAGAAAAAAGATTAATGGGGCTATTTAAGCTGCTATCACCTTAAGATGTTTTCAGTAGGGATGTGGTATAGGTAACCTGTATGAAGAGGGGTTTTGTGCACAGACTTCCCATTGTTAATGCTAGAAGGAGTATCAGCAGAACAGGAGAGGCAAAAGACCTTGGGGTTTCAATAAACACAAATATAAATATTATGAAAATTTTCATTTTGGAGCCATACTGTAGCTAGTGAAGCCAGAGTTGCAGTCTGTCATGTTCCACATTAGAAACAGTAGGAGAAGCTGTGCTGGCAGAAGGCCTCCAAACCCACATCATTCAGGTGTGTGTGGGGGGGGGAGGGGGGTCTTATTATTTCTTTTAGGAGGTGCACGAATTCTTCCCACATTATGGCTCAGACTGCTAGCTGGGGTATGGGAGGTGAGGGCACAGCCACATACCACAACCACTTTGTGTTAAGAAGCACTCTTCCACAGTATGATTGCAAAGAGCAGTGCAACAGGATTTCAGCTTCCCTCTCTGTGGGTGAGAAAAGCAGGAAAGGGTTCCTTGAACCCTACACACCATACTAGCAGATGCAGTCTGATGTGGCTGTTAATGTTTTCTGGTTATTCCTTTTTCTTTAGTTGTAACTATTCATCATCCAAAAGATCCTAATCAAAGATAACAGGCAGTATTTCCTAGGGGCAAAATACAGTTCTCACTCATGGGATAAACATTAAGTCTCGCTAAATTGCAAGTCCAGTTTCTGAACAGTTTCACAGAGACTGCACCACTGAAAAATACTTAACTTACCATACTATTTTCTCATCATATATGAACTAGAAGAAAAAAGAAAATGAACAAATAAGTCAACCAGTTCTCCAATCCAGTTTTAAGAAATCAGCCACGCAGCTGGCAAAACATGCCCGTAGGAACTGACGGTATTTTGTCATCTGCAGCCTGGTACTACTGGAGCTTTCCCTTCCCCACTCTTCCCATCCTCACCTTCTGCCAGGGCCAGATCTAGAAGGGGCACAGTACCTCAGGTGCACCCCCACTTTTACTCTTGCTCCATTCAACAGCTGCTGAGGGAGACTGGCTACCCAGCCCAATATCACACTGGACTACAGGAAGAGGAGGTAGCTGGTAAAAAGGGAAACCAGGGGGAGGAGCAGGTGGAGAGATTTAAAGGGGATATGGCAGTGATTCTCAACCCTTAGGGAGACAGGAGATGTGAGGGGGGGAGGGAGACCCCCTTCCAGCCCCCAGCCTCTACCTGAGGGAGCAAGTGCAGCCTCTAGTGCCACAGTTGCTCCTCCAGGGACTTGCAGGCTGGGGTCCAGAGCCACCTGATCCCACGCCCCCAACCCAGTCCTCCAGAGCATGCCAAAAAAGAGGGGAAGGGGATAGGCTGAAAAGCAGTTTCATGTATGCACATCCAGTCACCTGCCCACAGCAGAGCGTGCTGCTTAGAGCAGGCAGCACAGGAGCTGCTGGAGCCTAGAAGAAGGTATGTGCACCACTTGCTCCTCCCCAGTACCCATGGCTCCTAGCTGCCCTGAGCAGCACACACTGCTGCATGCAGGCTTTTCAGCCCAGCTTGTCCCCCTGCTTCTCACATGCTCCCACCACAGTGGGGTCAGGTGGCTCAGGACCCTTAAGTGAGAGTCCCCAGAGGAACAGCTGTGACAGTAGAGGTGCTTGCTCCCCCAGGCACAGGCTGGGGACTGGGAAGAGATGCCCCTCATTCCTCCCCTCTCCCTGAGCTCCATTTGTGTTCTGTTGTCCCTTGCTGCCTCACTGAGCCCCTCGGTGCCCCTCATGTGCCATGTGTGTGCACCTTGTCCTGCTGGCTGGGTGTTTCTGGGCTGGAGTTCAGAGGGAGAAACTCCAAGCCCCTTAGCTGGAGTTTGTCATAACCCAATTATAGCAGTGCCCATGACACAAGCAAGAGATACCAGTTAAAGCAGTTTTATTTTGCACTAGGTTAACTAAGGGTTAACAAAATGATAGTAACAGCCTTCTCCGCTGTGCATGCCAACAAGAGATTTATTGCTGCGCCACTAACAGAAATGAAACTTTAACCTTCTGTGCTTTACATAAATCATTATAACTGGTCAGAGTAATACAGGGAGTAGCCCTGTAGAGAAAACCGCTATATAATTGGCAATTCTAATTAAATTTATGATGTGGCGAAAAGCAATTGGCTATTACACAAATAAAACCCGTTTTTACTTCCGTGAAGTCGGAGACCTCCGTACACACCTTGGAGACCTCTGAACATACGTGTCAGAGTAATTAGACAATTTGATCACTTGTCTAAGTTCCCCGTCTTTGACCCAAGTTCAGATGTAAATCAACGACTGCCGGCCTGACCATTTCTGCCCGAACGCTTATGCAGACCGACTTAATGAACCCTAAGCTGTAACTAACCAAGTATCTGACCTCCGTCATTCACCACCTTGATGGCGTAAGTAAACAATCTTAATTTGCAACCGATAAGCATCCGCCTAAATAATTCCACTCCAAGCGTCACAAGTACCCGCCTGACGGCCTTCTAAGGCTCCGGACCCCTCGCTGCAGTGCACGGCAGCGACAGAGTTTAGGGGAAGATTGCCTTGGGGGGAATAAGGCCAGATATTGGCCCATGGGTTCCCAGTCCTGAATACTGACCTGGACCCATATCCAGATGCCACATTGGGAGCAAAAGTGCACAGGGCCAGATAGAGTAGGAGAGAGCACTTTGAAGGGGTGACTGCTATACTTATATACATTTTCTATTATATTACATATGACTGCTATACTTATATACATTTTATATTATATTATAATATTAGTAATGCATTTAGTTAATTAATATGTTACTTAATAATGTAACATTTATACTATGCAAATAATATATTTATTTTTTAAATGGGGTGCCAATAAATTCTGAATTTTTCCAGAGGGGTCTAAAAAGGTTGAGAACCACTGGGATAGGGTAACAGTGTGGAAACCTGGAGGTTCCCAGGGTTCAGCTTCTGGGTGTGGGGGAGGAAGTCCCATCTCCTTTCCCCCCCTGTTGTTCCCCTCCAGGTAGGAAGTGTGGCTGGTGCCAAAGAAAGCAAACTGTTGGTATCAAAGCCAGCAGGTAATCGGGTAGGCAGCGTAGAGCCCTAAGTTGGGTTCCAGGGGTCCAGGAAGGGTGCTGCACCTGAGGAAATATCCATCCCTGTCCCCCTTCCCCTCTACGTGGCCAGTGCCCCTGTTGCAATAATGGAGCAAACTACCCTCTCTGAAGCCAGAGAATGGGTCAGCCAACACAGAGTCCTGAGTCATGATCTTCAGAGTGTGACTCTTCCACATGCATAGGTAGCTGGGCTCCGCACCCCAATCCCCTGCAGCTGCACAAAGAACAGCAGCAGTGAAAGCCTCACTTCTATTTAAGGGCAGCACTTTAAGGTGTCCCAAAGCCATGTCTGTCTGCAGCCCTCTTGCAATGTTTGTTGCAGTCCCATACCTTATGAATCTTACTCAGTCATGTCACTATCTTTGCGAGAGGCTGCTATTAATATTATTCAGCTAAATAGGGTAAACGTATGTATGAGAGAGAGACATGCATGCGCACTCAGTATATATGATTGACAGAGAGTAGGAGCATGTACTTTGGAAATGGCTGGCATTCCGATAACAGTATGGACTGTCTCCAATTTTCAACAACCAAAGCCATGGAGTTTCTCCAAAAGCTACTCTAGAATTGAAGTTTTCCAAAAATGCTGCCCCTTTAGCTGGCTGCTCTGATTGTGCAGGACAAACCCATGTGCAGAAGCAAACAGTCATTCTTCATCCCCAACATGGAGATGCAGATTAGAAATCCATCCACCAAGAAAAATTGCTTGGATTAGGGTGGAATGCTAACTACAGACAGAGAAGTACAGTCTGCACAGTGTATCAATGGACTGTCTTGCAAAACTTTATGGGCTATAGGCTATGCCAGCCTTCTGCCCAGGGCTCTATGAGGTTTTTTATTTGTGCCAGACTGGAAAACCCTTACTCACCCTGATAACTCATCACTTCTGCCCCACTCCTGGGACAGCTTACATAAATAACCACTTACCAATGTAAAGACAAGGCTCACAGTCTGGCCCTCTGTAATTAAACATATTCATGATTAAAAGGGTCACTCACAGCAATAAGTATGATCACAGATAGCGTGTAGTAGACAGAATCCCTGAACACAGCCCACCAGGTGAGACGAACCACCTGAAAAACAGGCACAAAGTTAGGCCACAAAATAATTGCTATTCCAATATTTTAAAGGTAAAGTAAGTATTTGATTTTCAGTTATATTCATATGAGTAGTCCTTCTGAAGTCAACTTCAATACTTGTTCAACTAAAATTGCATACTTAAATGTTAGCAAGATTGGACCTTAACATGCATCTATAATTACCACCATTGCTAAAAATCTATAAAGCTCATCACTAATTAAACCTATTTATTACTATTTTTTTTATTTGTCATGGTTTCAGTTGTAAAGTATAACAATGCTGTTCTGCTAATCAGTGATTCCCATTTAATTTTATTTTAAATCAGATATATCCAGAAATAAAAAACCCTGATATTCAGAAACCAGTTCTTGAAAAGACTTTTACTTCAGAGCACAAACTGATCAGTAGATAGGTTAGGAAGGAAATATCCTCCCAATATGCACACTGGAATTGGCAACAGAACATGGGACTGGAATGTGGGAAGTAATTGCCTTTCTCTGGGTGTCAGTTATCAGTGATTTGGAGAAGCTAAGGCTGCAGCTGGACCTCTGGCAACATTAGCCATTTCCAAATGCAAAGTAAACTACTCACCTGTCCTGCAAATATCCCACAGACACCAATTATGCAGAGGATGTTGAAAACTGCGGAACCGACAATTGTCCCAACTCCTACATCACCATGAGTGATAAATACACCTGTAGAAAAAGCAATTGAATGAATTATTAAATCCTACTCTATAGTTATAGGCTATGACTATTTATTTGAAACATGCATTAAACAGTGAGGAATAAATTATTAATTGAAAGTATAATCAAAACAAAACTCTTAATGAATGGAAACATTTCAATTGCACCTTCTGCAATTTCAAGGTAGGTAACAGTTCCATGCTTAGCTTGAACAATTTCATATATTTTTTTTTTCATTGGAAGCAGAGAACTGCTTCCTCTTGTCAGCTACTTCAAGAGGAAATGCTGTCTTTCACAGTTCTGCTGGTAGTGGTGAGTAATACTTCATTAGAACAGATGGAAAAACATATCGTGTCACATGAAAACTGTGAAATACAGTTGATTTCAAATGTTATAAGAAAACACAAGAACTTTCCATCCAGCCTATTAACTCCAAGATCTTTTTCTTCACTACTGCTGCCTAGCCAGTTATTCCCATTTTCCTGTATTTGATTCAAATCTTCAAGGGTTGCACTTTACAGTTGTCTCTATTGAAATCTCTCTTGTTGATTTAAAACCATTTTTCCAATTAAACAAAATCACTTTAAATTCTAATCCTGTCCTCCAAAGTGCTTTCAACCCCTTTGAGCCCGGTGGCCTCAGCAGGTTTTCTGCATGTAACCTCTATTCCATTAACCAAACTTTTAGGGAAAGTATTGAATAGCACTGAGTAAAAGACAGACCCCTGTGAGGCCCCTTTCTTTAAACACCCTCCCAGTTTTATAGTGATGACTTTGAGAGTATTTTTCTCTCCATCTATATCATTTCATTTAGAAGATGACTTCATCTAGATCATATATTTTCCATGTTTGTTTATAAGAATGTCATCTAGAATAGTGTCAAAAACCTCACCGAAGTCAAGCTATATCACACCTACATTCTCCCCCATATCCCCTTCCTTAGTTAGAGGGCATACAATTTCTTTCTACAGTTAGGCAGGTTATAGGTTTGAGCTTTGCTTCAGATGTAAATGTGTACCTGGTCTTTTGGCCCAGGGATTTAACAGAGGTGGAACATGTTACATCACTCTTGTGTGCTGGTGGATACAGAAAGTGATGTACCTTAACTATGATACATAAGGCTTGGGCTTGGGCAGATCTATGACAAGGCCAATCAAGGAAGGAAATTAGAGTTGTTTAATACAATTTGTTCTTGATTAATCCACATGAGCTGTTTTTCTTCACCTTATCCCGTTGGTACTTATAAAATACACCATTAATTTCTCCTAGAATATTTTTGGGGAAAGAATTTAGCCTGACTGGTCTGTAATTTTTTGAGTCCTCCTCCCCCCTCACCTTTTAAAGTTCGGTACTATGTTTGCCCTCCTTCCCGCTTCTGGGACCTCCGCAGATTCTCAAAGATAATTGCTAATGGCTTAGAGATTACATCAGCAAACAGCCTTTGAAGGCAGTTAGTCCCTTAAGCACCTCCTATGGATTTCCTCAGGCCTGATGAATTGAACACATTTATATTACCTACATATTCTTTAACCTGTTCATTTGCTTTTCTGACAAGTAGCTCTGTCCTTGCTAAAATGATCTGTTTAACAACTAACCTTTTTTGTGAAGGCTGAAGTGAAGAAAGTATGCATGCTGAGGTACTCTGCCTCACCTGTTGCTTGGTCTGCGCCCCTGTTAAGTTATAGATGTATACTTTCCTATACTTTCCTCTTACTTCTAATGCAGGGGTATCAAAATCATTTGGCCCTGCTGGCCTGATAAGGGTCACTGGTTCAGTCTATAGGCCAGACTAGGACAAACCCCTTGTGCAGTGCCTGCAGTACTTGGTTCAGCCTGCACACATCAGGCACTAGTCCAGTGATCTGGCCCACGGCCAGTGATCTGGCCCCATATCAAACATATGTTTGACCCTGTTCTAATGCATTTACAAAATCTTTTCTTCTTTCCTTTTTTTGGCCTGTTCTAGTAACTGTAACTAATTCTGCCTCCTAGACTCTGATTTTATCCCTTATGCTATTTCTATATACTCATCCTTAGTCATATACTCTTGTTTCTACTTTTGGAATGATTCCTTTTGATTCTGAGGTCGTTAAAGAGTACCGGAAGGACCCATAATAGTTTTTAACTATGCTTCCTACATTTCTCTGAACCAGGATCATTTGTCATTGCATTTAACTATCTCCAAAAGATGCTGCAAGGACTAGAAAGTGTAAGGACCCTGACATCATGAAAATGAGGTCATGCAACTACTTAAACTAGTGCAAAAAAAAAAGGAAACCACTATCTTTAGATCAGATGCCATAGGGTAGACAGATGTTATGGCTTATATTGGCCTTTATTTATGCACCGGTATATTGTCCTTGCAGTAGATCAAACTACTGTCTTTGAAGTCCATGCAGCTACACAGCTGTAACTGGAAGGGAAATTTGTACATGGTGGATAATGTACAGCATTAAAATCTCTACCTTCACACTGAGAGGAATCAGCTATAACTTCTTAAACCCTGAACAAGGGTACAATGAAACCACTACCCTTGCTGGAGGGCAGATTTTGAGTACTGGAATGCACAATATAAAACCAGTAGAATATAAATATATAATCATAGGAAAGTAAGGCTGGAAGGGACTTCACAAGCTAAAGTAGTCCAGCCCCCTCCTCAAGGCAGGATCATCCCTGACTGAACCATCCCAGCTAAGTGTCTGTCCAAGCTGCTCTTGAACATTTCCCATATGAAACCTATTAGCACTTGCTGTAAACATAGTGAAGAACTGTGTCACTTATTAAGTCCCACTGCATAATCTGTTCCTAACCTTTTCATGGCCAGTAAAGACAAAGACATACTAGACATACTAGTTATAGGTTCTTACCTATAACAGAGGCAAACAATTCTGGGGTTGAGCTTCCTGCAGCCATGAAAGTGGCTCCAGCAACATCTTCACTCAAATGTAGTTTCTGGAACAAAAGTGTTTATTAATTCAGTCTTACTAGTCATTTTTATACACCATAGTTCTATAGTTAAAGAGGCAAAATCTTCTTGCTTTTTGGTCACATAATTAACTCTTAGAAAATGAACTGCTGCTATGTTGTAGCTAAAACCAACACATAAGTTGCAACAAACATGTTTTGGGCAAATAAAGGGGTCATCCCATAACCCAGTGGGGCATCAGTTGAAGAATATTACCAATATTACCAATGGAATATTTCCATTTACCAAGATGTGGATTCTAGCATTTGGCAGACTCAAGCAAGATGTCATATTTGGAACTTTAAAACAACAGTTCAGGAAACCGTGATGCCAATGCTACTGTGCAGTAGCAACAAGCTACTGCACAGTAGCTCATTGTTACTGTGCAGTAGGGTTGGAAATGACCCATGCACCACTAGAACTTTACAGTAATGGCGGTTACTGTGCAGTCTTTTAGTACTTGCTAAAATAACATTTTTGCCAGAAGAGTAAGTGGCTAACAAGAATTCAGAGTGGTTGGCTAAGGCAAGTACTAAATGATAGGGGTGTGCAAAACAGACCCTATTTGATTCAGATTCAGGCCAGATCGGGGACAGTGATTTGATTCGTTGATTTGGATCACTGTCCTGGACTCGATTTGGCTGAATCCAAATCTGAAGATGCTGATTCAGAGAATTGGCGATTCAGCCATAGACACAGCTTTAAATGTTTTCTCTACATACCTTGAGGTACCAGGCATGGTTTGTGAATGCTGCGATGCTGGGGCAGAAAGAGAGTTCCACGGGAGCACGACCTGCCCCGCATGCTCGGTGGTGAACCCCGAAGTGGACTAGAAGTACTTCTGGGTCTGCCAGGGAGTGCGCCAGGGTCCCCCCACACACACCTCCCTAGCTTGGAGATCAGCTGCAGGGGGACCCTGGGTGCCCCCCCAGACCCAGGAGGCACCAATCATCAAGCTAGGGGAGCACAGGGGGCACCCCAGCGCACTCCCCAACAGGCCCAGAAGTGGATCCAAAGTACTTCTGGTCCACTTCTGGGTCTGCTGTCGAGTGTACTGGGGAGCCCTCCACACTTCTGTGGGACACTCCATGCACCCCAGCAGTGCAGCATTCACGAGCTGCCTGCTACCTAGAGGTATGTAGAAAAAACATTTAAAGCTGTGTCTATGTTCAAATTGCCGAATCTTTCCGAATCCCTCCGAATCGATTTGGAGGGTTCCGATTCAATTCGGAGAGATTAAAGGGTCCTCTGATTTGATTCGAATTCAGAGATTTGGCCACCGAATTGGGCTGAATCTCCACTGAATCAAATCAGGGACTGAAGCTTTGCACAACCCTACTAAATGACTGTGCAGTAACAACTGTGCAGTTGGGTGCACATTTAGACATACCCAGTAAGCTTCTAAAATCTGTCAATAAAATAGTGAGAGGAAAATATAACTTATGTGGATTGGTCCTGTAAAAAGTAGGCCCAGTTTTGATTTCATTTTCTAGCGTGAGAATCATGTATGAAATCAGGTCAGTTTCAGAAAGAGGACTGTGTCCTGTAGACAGATTTATTTTCATTATACTGTTTCCTGAGTGCTAATCTAAAAGTAGTTGCCTTACAACTTTCAAACCATTTCCTCAGATGGTATGAACACAGACCGCTCCATGGGTGGGCAATGTCTGTTTAGACCAGCTGAAGATATTTCTCATGAACTATTAAGATCTCATGGATGAAATTTTTTTTTTTTTTTACAAGGGTCCATAGCCTCACCATTTCATGCCATTTGCAAGGATGGAAAAATGAGCAGTGGCAAAAGGAGCAGTTCAGGAAGACAGAATGTCTCATGGGTATTTGGCACCTTCATGAGCTGGCAGTTTGTACATCATGAAGAATGTCTAGAAAGCTAACTTCTGGGTCTAAGGTGCTCAATCATTGTTAATATGGGTGAGACAGTTAAACATGAATGTGCCAACCACTCTAGATTCTTGCTAGGTGCTTACTCTTCTGGCAGAAGGGAGTAGGTTTAAGAAAGAATCAAAAGCAATATTCATGGCATACTTTTTATACCATATAGCAGAGATGGATCCAGGGGGGTACACTTGTGCACTTACACTACACTTTTATATCTTCTGCACCCAACATTTTAAACCAAGTGCCTAACAGTGGCAGCAGCATTTCTAGTCAGGCAGCAGTGAGGGAGTCAGTTGAATTGATGGCTCATTATACTCTACCAGATTCCTACTATACCTTTAATTCCACAGGTATTAAGGACCCTCTCAATTTTAACGGTCTTAATGTTCCCCTAATTAAGTTATTTTTTCTTCTGCAATTCTGCTCTTAGCTCTCCTGATAATGTACCTCCTATTTCACAACCCTACAGTCTGTTTTTAACTCTAGCTAAAAACGTTAACTCAGTGAAGCATCCGAGGCATTGTCAAGACGCTCAAGCAAGCTAGATTTTGTTTTATGAATCTGAAAAATTCTAATGACTTCAGAAGTAGTGGAACAATATGTTTTAATTATCTTTTGCCTAGTGTGTTGTGTTTTTTATACATAATATATGATATAGCAGATTTATATTAGCTTTTGCTGCAATCTTAAACTGAATAATATAGCCATAGGCCACTAGCTTATTAGTAAAGCTTCTAGTTTCTGTTTAACCTGATAAAAGTATGCATTGTGTTATATGTGACAATGTACCACACCACCTGCACTGCCTTTTTCAAAATCCTAGATTCACCCATGCTGTATAGCAAGACCACATTGAGGACAGCACATCTGAAAACTGAAAAAAGACTGTTACTGAATACTTCACTAGTGTTATCTGCTTTAATCTATTCTTTCATCTATTATTCTGCTGATAACATCAGTAAAAGTTACCTCTACTCAGCTGAAATTATGTCTAACTATCCAGAGGGGTGGAGGAAAAGATGCCTTATTAGCTAGGAGAGCTGGCCAGAAGTTTTCTGATATGAAATGTTGTCAAAGCAAAAAAAGAATAAAGAGATTTTTATATTACAATCAGCACCCCAGCTGGTTGGAAAGCTCTTGCCAAAATAAAAACTTAGACGAAAATTTAAATTTTTTCCCTGTCCTGGAAACTCCATTAACTAATAAATACATTTCTAAAGTGCTGTGAGCAATTATAGTGCTACATTATGTTTTCTAATAATGACAATAATGCATTATTTTCTCTAATTAAAATGTCACAGATCTAGCTCATGTGGGCCCTGTACATAAAATAACCTACTTCATTAGTTCTTATGTCTATTTTTTTCCTTTCCAGTAATTTATCCCTGCAGATATTCTGCACTGACTTCTGAGGTATTACAACTTTTGTATTTCATACCAGGATGAAAATTTTAAACAAAAACAGAGGAGGGCTCTAGAACAGCTCGTACTGTACATTAGTAAACACAGTACACACTTGGCATCCAGCATACCCAGACTGAAGCAGAGCAGGGACTCAAATCTAGCTCTTTCTAATCCTAGGAAAAGCCTTGACTATCAGGCTTTTAGTTATTCTTTGGCCTTTTCCTTCCCTCTGTTTCTGGCCAAAAATCTACCTCATTCCTCCAAGACCTGAAACAACTAACCATCTAAAGCTTTCACAAAATGGTGTGAACTCAGAACCTCCCCCTACCCCCCCAAAACAAAAACACGCAACCTCCCAAAACTAGACAAAATAGGCACGTTCCAATGCAAGAACATTTTGTTGAAAAATTCCCAATCAGATCTAATACTGAACACTTTCAAAAAGGGGCTCTCATGGTTAAAGTTGTAGCTTAATGCTCTTCCATACTATCAGATTCTTAAGGCCAGAAAGACTTCACAATTACACCCCTTCTTTTAGCCAAATAGTCATGTCAGTAGCAAAACTCACACACATCTCACAATCAATGCAGATCTTTCCATCTTTTCTTTTTTTTAATGGATGTTAGAACCAGAGCAGAGTAATAAATGCAATTAGGCTTATAGTGTAGCAGCCTTTAAAAAATGGACCCACCTGAACAGAATGGGAAGAGCTGCCTGGCAGAGACAGAGTTTGTCCCAGAGGGGACACTGTAGGCTCTGAGGGCAAGTGAAGCTGTTTGGGCGCAGCCCCGTTGGAAGTGGGAGGGGTGATGTAACCCCAGACAGTTTTGAAAGAGCCATTAGCAAAAGCCCAGGAAGGGCCCTGAGCTGGGATTGGCTGAGAGGCTTGGATAAAAGGGGGGTAGGGAAGAGAGGGGGGTGGTGTTTGCGCGGGGGGGGGGGGGGGGGGGAACAAGAGAGAGAGAGGGGGTTGAGCGGTAGGCTGGAGACCGGATTGAGAGTCTCAGTGTAGTGGTCCTTCGGAGAGCCCCTGAGAGAGGCCTGCTGGAGCAGAGTGGAGAAGCTGCAGCAGCAGGAGCGGGCAGGGCCTGCTGGTGTGGAGATCCCAAGTCTGAAGAGACCTTCCTGCAGCTGGTGTGGCTGGGTGAGCACAGCAGAGCTGGGGTGGGGACTGCCGGAGTCTGCCCTAGTTTCCCTGAGGGGTGAGGAGCCCCAGGGGCAGGCCAAGCCCAGGGAGGGGCTACATTTGCTGGGGCTGTGAGGCTGTGCGGGGCAGGAGGGTAGCCTGCAGCCCAGGCACTGCTCACAGCAGAACCAGGGAAGGGGGCAAAGGCAGGGGAAGGCTGTCTTGCAGGAACTGCAGAGGAGCTGCTGCTTGCTGCTCAGAGACCCCAGGAGCACGGAGATGGACACCAGCACCAGGGAGCATCCACAGACCACGTGCAAGGTCTGTGGACGCCCGCTCCCTGAGATACCCCACCGGGGCGGCGCACACAGTGG